GCTCAAAATGAAGTGGCGGTCATTATTGTCAAACAAATTAAAGTCAGACTAGCGAGTGGGAGTCGAAGATCGATTTAATCCCAAAGACGATTACCTGGGGTCATTTTTCATTCTTTGCAAATGTCGGCAGAGGCTGAACTGACAGATTTTGAGCATTGTTTGCTTTTGGCCTTACACGCAGTGAGTCTTGTAAGTAGACAAATCGGATGATGCCCCAAGAAGGCAAAAACTCTGAGCTACAACAAAAAATCACATCTTCTTTAAATTTTACAGTTGAAGAAAGAGTTTCTCTTGCTTGACTGATAAAGCACAGTCAGTAAGACCTTCTGCTGGCGCGCTGATGTGTTCGTCCTGTGTGTTTAGGTTAAGCAACCAGCAACCAAAGTGCTTCTGGTTATCCTACATGATGTCTTCCTGCTTCGTGCGTCAATTCCCTTCATTAACTGACCTTGTCGGTCCTCGCCATCAGCTGATGGATTCCTTGTAGGCATGGCTGATGATTGCTGTCGGTCGAAGTGACCACACTATCAACATTAAGTTGACCTGGAATGTACCTAAAAGGGTCTTCCGATCCACAGAAACTTTAACGGTAAGGGTATGGTTTATGGCCGAATCCACTTACGCCCGGGAAAGACAATTGTGCTAAATGAAAGAAATGTAAATTTAAAGTAATCTACCGGGATACGATTAGTGCCTAGTTTACACACATCGCTTGAAACCATTGTGCCTCAAATGAGCCTGTCTGAGTAAAACGTGAAAACGTTCGTAAACCAAAATATGGATGCTCCTAAATATGAAAATAGTTTGTAGAAGACCATTTTAGGAGCATAAGCATGCTTTCGGTAATTTTTAATTGGGCCAGTGCATTTACATGGCGAATTTGGCACAAAGAAAAACGAGTGAGCGGTAATAAAAATCGATTATGGTTCATCATTTCATACAAGCGTAGTGTTTGAATAGAGGGGAGAGAGAGGAGTCAGTACGTGGCAGTGGAATTCGGGTTCAGCCGTGTCACAGGGAGAGAAGAGGGGTAACGGGGTGCGGAGACATGCATGCAATTTATCGATCTTTGTTCACGGTAGACTCGGAGCGTGCAGGATGTTACAGACGACAGTCACTGCTGTTGTTACCAGTATGCGCTGGCCCAGTTGTCTAGAGTAATTAGATGGGACCTTATAAATCACGACGAAGGCTTCGTTGGGGTTCATGTGATGCCCAGAATCAACCATGTGTGCGAGGATGGAGCTGCGTTTGCCTTTGAACTTCACCTTTCCTCAACCATGCTATAATTCTCAATGGCACACATGATAGTGCGTTGACGTATAGCACAATCTTGCAAGCAATCTTGATTGCTACGACGCCTTGCCCTTGGTGACCCAATAGCCGCATCTCTATTGCTTGAAGGATAAGCACACAATCATAAAAACCTTCTGTTGGTGCAATGATGTGTTCGGTGTGTGTGTGTGTGTGTGTGTGTTTGGTTTGAGTATCGAACGACAAAAATGCTTCTGCTTATCCTAGATGATGTCCTCCTGTCACGTGCCTCCTTTCCCTGTATTAACTGGCCTCGTAGATCCTCGCACTTCAATGACGAATTCCTTGAATGGATGACAGCTAACTGTTGTCGTTCGAAATGACCACATAACTAACCCTTATCTGACCCGAAAAATATCAAAATAAGTCTTCCGGTCTGCAAAAACTTAAGCGGCAGGAATGTGGTTTATAGCTGGTGTTACGCACTCGGGTATGCAATTACGGTAAAAGAACTTGGCTAGCGATATTTGTTTGCACGTGACAGAGAAACAAATAAAACGACTTCAAAGTGATTGTTGCGTGAGGGTGATCAAGATGGTTTATGGTATTCGTCGAAATAAAAATACGACAATGCAATGCCTTCTGACACTGCCTGCAAGGACACATTTTATTCATTGACTATTATAATAGTAAAAATACTGTCAAATTTTAATTGGTGACATTTTTGATATTACAAATTTCTTAGATGTTCAGCTATTTTGCTCAACACAAATTCCCCCCGGAGTATGTAACTTGCCCTTGATGATTTCTGATTTTGGTGTGGACGATCTTCTTCGAATTAGGACCCGTTTCAATGTTGCAGGTAGCCAGTTGGAACCTGATAACACTGCCTTCATGCGCGCATCTAAAATTTTACTTTTCGAAATACCACTCAATCGCAGATCATTCAGCAAACTTAGAATTCTTTGTGTGCAACGTAACTTCAAGTTTTGTATGATGGCGTAAAAAAATATTTCGCTACATTTCGTAGAAGAAATGGAGGCAGCGTATCTTTTCAAAGTAGAGCATTAGCATCACCCTGCACATGGACTGTGGGGTCTTTATTTTCATTATTAGTATTACTTAAAAATATCATGGGCCGTTTGCGACAACGTTTCGTGGTCACTGTGATATGCCGTTGTTTAGTCTCTCACAAAGCTTTTTGGGCAAAATTTAGAAGATAAGCAGTAAAGAACTTCAAACATATATAGTCCAAACTTCACCTAGTTTTTGCGGTCATAAGTATGTCGTTATACCTTGCAAACATAATCAATGCTTGGATATATTGTTCAAAAGGCCTTATCCCGCTACGCTCCCTCTTTTTTAACTTTTCATAAGGTAATATTGATTTTTTTAGTATATAAACTTTTTCACTATCTAAGCAACGTCCGTATTAGTTTTTATGCAAAGTCTGTGCTTCTTGCGGCACATCTTAGAGCTCTTGGCTGTCGAGTGTTTTTAAAAGCGGCAACGTTTCGTTTGCATTATGATGCGCTATCGTCTAGTCTCTCACAAATACTTTTGAACAAAGTGTTGCGAATTCCCAGTAAAAAATTTTTAATTATATAGTCCAACCTTTCTTTACGTTTTTGCAGTCCTATACATATGATAATACTTTGCAAACATAACCAATGATGGGAAATATTGTGCGAAAAGCCTCATCTTAATACGTTTCTACTTTCTTTCAACTCTTCAAAAAATATACTTGAGTTATTTACAGCATATAAACGTCTTCACCATCTAAACAATGTTCATATTTTGTTTTCTACAAAGCCGGTGCACTTTTATCTAGGAGAACGGTCTTCTGATTGCTCAGTGTGGCACGTATGGGAGCTCTTGGCTGTCGAGCGTTCGTGAAAACGTGCTGACACATTTTACCTATGCAAGGGCAGGGGAAGGCAGCCAATCTGTGTACAGTGAGGGCACACATTCGCAGAGGTTTAACATCCTCACCAGGTCACGTCATATATATGTATAAGTTCCATCAAAACGACCGCAGAACCCGTTTGAGCAAAGCGTAAGCATTTATCTTTGCATGGCATTTCACTAAATCTAGGTAAAATTGTTTTTCATTTCCAGGGTTGTCTGAAATTTCAACTGTGAAAACATACTATCGTTAGCTTAAATGTGAACTCTGTATTTCTTAAATTTTTTGGGGAGCTTTAGCAATTTTGACCTTCAATTATAAACGGCAATTTTGAGTGTCCTGCAATCTTTCAGCTGGAGTTATTTTTAATGATTGAAACGTGAAATGAGCTTGCATTTTGTTAATTTTGAAAAAATCCCGTTGTATCAATGGACACATTTAAATGTATACCCTCCTGATCACTATTGACTAATAATTCTCATATATGTATTTTGCTTCCAAATGTGAGTTTAAAGATGCCTCTTTACTGTTGCCTTTGGTGATCACTGCATGGCTGGGAATAATTATAATCCCTACTTTGAAAAAGACTGGATGTACTTTTTGAGAAGTCAATTTATCCCGCATCGACCTCCAAATATATTTAATGAAGAACAGCTGTTGCCCAGCGCCCAACTAAAGAAAGCAGCATTCAGAGATAAAAAGGGAGGTCATCCAATTGGTTTTAATGTTTAAGTTCGACTTAAAAACTTCCATGCTACAAGAGAGGCTTTATTGTGAGCATGTTTTGTGGTTTTAAAACGCCCTAACTTTGGATGGAGACAATTGCCGCAAAGAATGAATTTTCGTGCAAAAATGCTGCTCAAAATGAATATTAAAATTAACTGTCTGCTCAATGGAAAAATGCACATAGCAGAATGATTTATCAACACACCCTTCATTGTAACAATCGTCCGTTACGTTAAATAAAAGAACACTTTACTACATGCTTAAAGATAAACCACCTCATATTTACCTTGAAAACGCTGCAGTACATCTGTAACCTAGGTAGTAGGTAACGAATACTAGTTGTCAAACATATTCCAGCACCATTATTGTGAGTTTCCAACATAAATTTGTATTTCATTTATATTTATATAAATTATAGCAAGTAAATTCATTGTCGCGTTTCGATTTCAACCTCACAAATAAAATTTACCACTAATCTTAATGATAAAGGCTTCAAATGCGAGCGGGCGTTGTGGGCAGCAAACCGATATTTATGCATGGTTTTAGTGTGAGAAAGATGACTTCAAGTGAATGGGCTGACATTAACAGAAATTAATATTGATCAATACTGATGTAACTCTAATATCCTTATGTTAATATACAACACGGGATTATATTTCACTCTTATTAAGCAGGAGTTACTTCACAAAAATGCCTCTTACAGGAACATTAGAATTTATATTATACTTAACTCATTCCCTAGTGAAGGATTACTTGCCAATAAACCATCATTTGTGAAGGCAAACAAAAAAGTAACTTCCTCAGGGCTTTTAAGAAAAAGTAAAATTAATAAACAAAACTTGAATGGTATTTGCCTAACTTTTCGAAATCACGTTAAAACCTACCATAGCAAACCACCTTTTTTCGCACGATTTTAGTAATACAAGATATGACCGTATCTTTAACTACAGTAACTTAAAATTAACACAGCAAGGTCCTCCGAACCTGTATCAGTGCAGTTAACTTTGATTACTTGCAACGGCCAACAAATATGATTATTGATCCGATAGTTGAGCACTGATTTAAATTTTGCAAAATAAAATAAAGGCTTTACCCAGCGTTCTCAGTTTTAGGAATGACAATCTCTGACAAAACACTTAATCGTGCACTCGCCTATGCTAAAACACATTACCTTTGTTGCAAAATATGCACTGGATGGTTCTTTTGCGTGGGTTTACTCTCAATAATTGCGGGAAGCGTGCTGGCTGTCCTATTCAGAAACCGAACAAAGTGTAGTCGCGTCATCTTCTCTGATGGCAATTTGGAACACCTCCACAAAGAAGATCTGACAGACATAAACGAAAATGAAGTCATGTACGTCCACCAATATCCTGAATTGGACAGTAATACATTTTTTTATTTTATTTAAAGGTGCCTTATTTCCCTATATGCCGACAAGTAGTCAGGTGTTTGGATGTATAGTAGGTGGGTTAACTCTTGAAATGCAAGCCGAAAATCTGAAATTTGTTTTCGACATGGAAACGTTACTTAGGCATGCTTTAAATGCTAATCCCCGTGAAACATAATTATAACAGATGTCAGCTTTCGAACGAGCCTCTTTTCGGGTGCCTGAAAAATCTGTAACTTAAATAGTATGAATTTTCCCCATCGATTGTAAATGACCTTAAAAAATGCAAATGAATTTCATAAAAAATACGCGTAAAATTGTTCGATTTTTTACTTATTCAGAAGAAAATTACGTCTTATTTAAATTGTACCCTTTAAAACACATTCCCGAATTTCGGCTAAAATTTCATGAATTAGAACATCTACTCTGACAGCAATAAACAGAAGGCAACTTGGAATGACCACTCCTGGTACATTTGTTTACATCTGCTGCTCATATCTCCTCCTCTCTCCACTCCTGAAAGCGCTGATATTATATGCCGGCTCATTTTTCAGCAGGTGTCATTTAAGCGATCTGGGTAGAGAATCTTGACTTTTAATGTGTTATCCTCAGCGATTATTTATACATATTCAATCAGGAAAGGGCGCACACCGATCTATTGACTTCACGAAGAAAACAAGCTCCGTATGGGTGGCAAAGGTCACGAACAGGCAACCAATTACCAGTCCGAAGTCGGCCAAGTCATACTAGCAGCAAGGAGGGACGACAGGGAATGCGAGCAGATTGATACAGTACTGTTTGGGGCTTATTGTTCCTACATTCAGCTAATCATAACCCTGACCACCAGCAGCTGAGACCAGAAACACAAACATGCGCACAGACGCACCTGGCGCAGTCGGTCCACCACTGAGGCCTACCAGATGGGTCATAAGCACTTCATCGAACCGAAGTTCATCAGCGCCTCGCCTCCTGTCATTCTCTGTCGCTGCAGATAGGGTATTTATCAATAAGGAATGGGCGCACAACGATCTATTGGCTTCACAAAGCAAATAAGCTATGTATGGGTGGCAAAGGTCACGAACAGGCATAAAAATGTTTGATCATTTACTTATCCAGAAAACAACTATGTCTTCTTTAAATTGTATCCTTGAAAATACATTTCACAATTTCGACTAAAATTTCATGAATTAAAACATCGACTCTGACAGCACTAAACAGAAGGCAACTTAGAATGACCACTTCTGGTACATTTGTTTACATCTGCTGCTCATAGCTCCTCCTCCCCCCAATCCTGATAGCGCTGATATTATAGACCGGCAAATTTTTCAGCAGGTGTCATTTCAGCGACCTGGATAGTAAATTTTGAGTTTTAATATGTTATTCTTAGCAACTATATATGCCAGCATGCAGTTGGACCGTTTTTAATAAACTCCTAAGTACCCTACTGCAGTGGAGAAATTCATCCTTTCGAAATGATTATATTGGCATGCAGCTATGACCGATAACTGTTTTTTGTCCAGGATTTTCACCTGTGGGCTAGTTCTGCTGGCAGTTGGTATTGCGTTTAATTTGATCGGAAGCATCTGTGCTGCCTGCGTCTGTTGTGGACGCAAAACAAACAAACGAAAGAACTTCCAACCACCACCACCACCACCGCGCATACAGGTGAGCCACCTTGTTTGAATTTTATTTTAGTAGAATGAGGGTCCTTTTTCAAATTATAACACATTGGGTATTTTTGCCTGCAGAGTATAAATTTAGTGTCTAAAACTACTGCTGCATGTATTTTGCGAATTTTTTCCAACTATTACTGTCTTAAGGCATAATCACTCTGTTGGGAAAGTAGCGTTCTCAGTAGCTGCCAATTGGCTGCATATCCAAAACTTGTCTTTATTACGCATCAGAATAGTCGTCCAGACAGGAGCAGTGCTTCAACTAGGAGTTGGAATGATAAAATTGCGACCCTTCATTGATATTTTGGCAGATTTGGAATAATTCATATTGATTAAACTGTGAAAAACTCTGCGCCTCGGTGGGATTCGAACCCACGTAGTAAGGGGAAGGCTTAAGCGCAGCCAACGCTCTAACCACCTAAGCTACGAGGCCCCGCCGGACGACGCGAGTTTAATCATATTTGGGTCAAGTTACCCGCCCAACCTACCGCAACGTCTGGAATCCATCTAATCTGTTACAGTAATTTGACTGCCCAAGCAGGAGCGTTGGAGCAATCTGCGTACAAGTCATTTCATATATAGCGAAATTATCCACCTGACTATTCTGCGTCACATTTGTTTTTCGAGTACATTTCCTTTCCAAATGCTCCTCTGAACGTTAAGTAATTTAGGTCGGAGAAATGTACTCATAAGAATTACTAGTCACAAAATCACTGTAGATTTGCTTTCGCGAATTGGTTAATGTTTTTTGGCTAACATGTGCGTAGAGTGAGTGACTGACCTCATGGAATAATGGCTAAAATTCTTAAATGCAATTTCAGTGAAGAAGGATACTTTAGGCGAGAGTTTACTATTGATTAGCTTCCGGCATAATCCTATGATATTTCGGACTCGGCAGGATGTCAGCTTTTGAAGAGACTCCTGTAAATGTCCTGCTCAGTAAAAAAATGACTACTTATGTAGCGTGTACTTTTCTCATTTGTTTTTGATGCTTTTGCAAATACAAATACAACTTACAGAAACCAGAAAACAAACATTGGCTTTCTTTCAGTCGTTTAATAGAAAATAACGTTATCCTTATCTTTTTAATGACGAAGGGTATAAATAGGTTTTAAAAAAGTTCCTAACTGTGTGATTTTCAAGACAGTCAGTGTCCATTGACTTAGCTTCGTACCTGTCCGCCTACCACTGCTTCTCATGAAAAGTACGATATAGTCCGCATCTATTGCAAAATTTAATGGACTCTTTATGGTATATTTTTAACGGAATAGAAAAATTTGTGATTTTTTACGCGTACCACATGCATCTTGTAGACTGAAATCACTAGGCGCTAATGCAGCGAGTGATCAGGCTCCAAATTATTCGGAAGTTAAAAACATTTCTTGAAATCTTAGTATATCCCTTCATTTATTAAACGTCTAGATAACTTATTTATATATCAAATGATTGAAAAAAGCCAATTTCGTTCTTGTCTTTTGTAAGATGTACTTGATGATGCAAGACCATCAAAAACCAATGAGTAAAATGCACACTAAATAAGCAGTACTTTTTTACCAAGAACTGCTTCTACGGGAGATTGAAAAGCAGCGTATGCAAAAGTTGACATCCTGCCGAATCAGAAAAAGTATAGGGTTATGCCGCAAGATAATCAGTTTTACAACCGCACCTAAGTAATCCTTCTCAATCATAAACACATTTTAAAATTTCAGCCAACATTTCATGAGATCGGTCACTCAATTTACATTCATTGTTGATACCCATGCAAACGTTTAAGAAGTCGAGTCCGACAAGCATATGCTTTTGGGACTGTACAGTGATATAAGGTTGGACAGCATAGTGGGCGTTAAACAGCTAATAAACTTCAGCATTGAGGGAGAGGACTGAGGGGCGTTCAGAGGTGATGACTCAGATTTCAGTTCTGTCGAGGGGTTAGGGGAGCGGAAGGAAAAGGGTGTCTGACGATTACCTGTGGCTCACGTGGTTTACGGCAGCCACCGGGTAGACTTCAACCAAGCATTCCGAATCATCTACAAAGTATCGACGAGATACTCAAAATTCCTGCGTCAGCGGATACTTGCAACAGCAAAGGCAGTGGCCATGCGATTAGCCAACCCAACCGTGCGCTCGCATAAAGCGTTTGTACAAGCGCTCAAACCCCCTCTGGGAAAAGACAAACCTAGCATGTGTATTCATACCCGCCATTCCGAGTAACAGCGATGAAACTGGGCCAGCAATGGCCAGACACCTTACCACTCCGCCTCCCTAAGCCCCAGACAGAACTAGAATCTGACCTCTGAACGCCGCTCAGCTCTCCTTACCATACTGACTTTTATGAGCTATTTAGCCTCTGTTATTCCGCCCGCCCTTATATCGCTGTACAGGCCTGATGGCGAATAGTTGAAAATATACTTCTTAAATGTGTGTTTATTTGTAAGGCAGCGTTAATAAACAAATCTGAACCGAGAGGACAACGGGCCTGGGGCTCAATGGTTAGGGCTTCGCACTTTGAAACAACAGAACGCGGGTTCGTGTCCCACGGATTGTATGATAGCGAGGTTTTGTATGGCTGGCTGGTGGTGGCTAACCAGCCAGAAATGTGCACTCCAACCTTTCTTGTCGATAATCCAGAAGAGCATTTGGCGAGCATTCGCAGGCTTTAGATAAATTCTCAATGGGCCAGTACACTTACAATAGGTGGGCTAACTCATTAAATCTCAACTGAAATTCCAAAATGACTTTTCGTTTCGAAAAGATTAATTAAGTAGAATTGTAAATATAATCGTCATGCACGCTAACTTAATAAAAAATTCCGTTATCTCTGGACGCCCGCTTTTGAACTTACCTCTTTCCGGCAACAACTTAAACCATACCTTGTAAAAAATGGCTACTTAGCTCACATGCATTTATTTCACTGATTTTCGATGCCGTTCAAGATTCAATTATATTTAAGGGAAAACAAGCATAAAACCATTCATTCTTTTGCTCATTCAGTAGGAAATAACATTTTATTGTCTTATTTAGTTTACGTCTCACATCTAGCTACCTTAGGGCTATCTTAAATTGTAAACTTAATCTACATGAGATTTACATTTCTCTTAAAGTGTGTTTTATGTTGATAATTCACTGGCTCAATTATTTTTGAAAGTTCACCTATTTTATCGTTAAAAAATTACGAACTGTGATCTGGCGAGTGTCCATGCATACACAGAAACGTCATGCTAGACAACACTTTGGAGAAGGACCTGTATAACTTGCTCTCATGAAATCTAATAAAACTGAGACCGATCAAAACTACATCTTCTGGTTTTTGGTCCACTTGACCTAAAGTTACCAGTGTGGCTGAATAATGCCTATCTGCCGTTTGTAGTCAATCGGCTATAGCATTTGTCAGATAAAAGAAGCCAGTCCAGAACGCGAATTAAAAAATAATGTTTTTATAGAAAACATCGCAAGGGATCTTTTGAAATATTTCGGCGAAGTGTGTCAGCTAAAGGGGCTGCATCTAACATTTCAAATCTTCCAAACCCAATTTCTAATTTATGGCATGCCCAATTTCAGTAAAGGTCGTGTTATCGGTGTCTCGAGAGTATGTAAAAATTTTCCCAAATATTTTAAGGCTCTCAATTAGTGAAGACAAATAGGCCTTCACTCACTTCAAATTACCGTGGTTACTTTTAAGATTCTAAGAATTCACCACTTGTTTGACCGCCGGAAACTTGCTGAGTACCGACCTTCAATCGAGAACCGAGAACCCTCGAGACCTGATATTAATCATTTGCCGTCTTTAAAACCTTGCCATAAAAGTGTTCTTTTTGGTTTTACACTTACCTTCTATCGTCGTTTGCTCTTCATTTCTATCTAGCTGCCTGTGATTAAACCACTTAACGTCTCTTCTGCCTATGAGGAAGAGCATTCATCGTCCCCTCCTCAGAAACCCCCATCTTATGAGGCAACTTTGCAGACGTCCAACCTATCTACTGCGGGACACACTGATACCACTGTGCCCTCCGCTCCAGCAACGGATCATCTACCACTAAAGAGCTAGAACGACCGAGGGCAACGGCAAACATATGCTAGATGACGAATTATTTTGTTAAAAGATATGCATTCATATTTGTCGTGTGATAGAGCACACAGAAAATAATAATGTCCATGTAGGCAATTTATCTACAAATGACGGATAGGGTATCACACAAAACAGCGCAAAGAATAATTGTCCGTGAAGGAGTTACACAGTGCGTGGCCGATCTCATGAAATGTTGTCCAACATTCTGGAATGCGTTTCCGATCAGGATGGATTACTTAAGTGGGATTGTAGTATTGTTAAGCGAGCAGCATAACCCTATAACATTTCGGACTCGCCAGGATGTTGGCTTTTGAATGCACTTCTTTTTGGACTCTTGCAGAAATCGCACGCGGTAAAAAATGACTAATTAATTAGCGTGCATTTTTCCTTTTCATTTTTTATGATCTTTTAAATTCAAATGCATTCCACGGACAGCATGCGAAAAAAACATGCTTTCGTTCGCTCAGTTGAGAGAAACTCGCATTAGCTTCATATTTTATGCCCGAAGAAAGTGTATATTTAGGTTTTAAAAGAGTTTCTAATCATGAGACCTTTAAGACCGTGCGATGTCCATGCATACAAGACCGCACATCCCCGCTTACTAACACTTCTCATGAAATATACAACAGAGTTCGGATCAATTGCAGAATTTCATGAAATCTATGTGGTTTCTTCTTAAAAGCATAGAAGAATATATGATTTTCCTTACGCGGAAAGCATGTATCTTGTAAATTAAAATTGCTAAACGCTGATGCAGTGGCAGATCAGGTTAAAAATTATTCAGGAATTGAGAAACTTTTTTAAAACCTGAGTATCCACTTTCTTCGGTCATACAATCTGAAGCCAATGTGATTTCCTACCAAAAGAACAAAAGAAAACCTATGTTTGTAAATGTTTTCTATAAAATATATTTCAATTTATAAGAACATCGAAAATCAAGTGGAAGAATGCACGCTAAATAAGTAGTCATTCTTTACCGAGTGTGGTTATTGTAGGAGGTCAAAAAGAAGTGTATTCAAACGCCGACACCCTGCTGAACCCGTAGTGTTATATGATTATGCTGTATGATAATCAATATAACAACGCCACTTAAATAATTCTTTCTAATCGGAAACGCATTCCAGATTTTTGGATAACATTTCATGAGACCCATCACGCACTGTCTTGAGTAATATATTGGGGGACCGGAAGAACGTAAAGAGCAACTTAGCTTACGCATGAAGTATGCCTTGGCTTTTTTAGATAGCGAACATGGTTTTTTAGTGGCAAAAGCGGTTTACAACGTTTGGACTGGACTCGCGATTAAGAAACGACTAGTGACAGCTCATGTCCCTGGCGTAGTTTGAAAATATGCCATTAAAAGTTGATGGGGGAAGATGATCCAGGTTAAACCCGATGTTCATATTGGCCCATCTGCGAAAAACTCAGTGGTTTAGTGGGATTGTAGCCCACGACAGTAAATGGAAGGCTTTAGTATAGATTATGTTCTAGCCACCTGTGAAAACATCCAATAGTCACGTGAGCCTGGTAGATTTTAGATGAATTACTCGAAAAATCCTGTATGGGCATTACGCTTTCTGCATCAGATGTGGGGGATTCCAGAATTCTCAGCACGTTGGGCGGGTAACCTAGCTCCCTCTTCAAATGGAGCCTCGTAGCTCAGGTGGTTAGAACGTTGGCTATACTACGACCTTCCCCTTGCTGTCGTGGGTTCGGATCCCACCTAGGCGCCGAGGTTTTCACAACCATTTCCAAATGAATTATTCAAAATCCACCAAAACATATACTTATTTAGCCTGATTGTCTACCAGCTACCTGACAAATACGAAGTCACGATAACACGTCACGGCAAACGTGATACCGAAGTTGCGGTTTGTGGAACCCCTTGAATAATGCCGTGTTGCTCATATTCACACAGGTACTAATGGATATATCATCCCCATTTCAAAACGTGGCCTTTAGTGATTGTTATTGCAAGTTTAAGTCGCTGAAAGCGTTTACGGGATCTGCATATGGGAGACAGCACCTGAACACACTTCTAGTCGCGTGTCAACGCTTCCTCCACTGAAGACTGTACTGCCGGCGTTCATGTCAATCCATTTGCCCGCAGTGCTCACGACTTTTCTGGCTACCACAATGACAGAGGTGCACCGAAACCCCTGTCAGGCGGGAATATATTACCAAGGATGCCTTGGACTTCGTGAGAGAATGGCCAATGTTGTAGGCTTTTAAACCATCTACAGAATGTAATTAGTCGACAATTTGAATTTGTCCTTACCACCGTGG